CGGCGTCCGAGCTCACATAAAAAGAAAAAAAAATGTTTGCGCAGTCGCCAGGATTCGAACCTGTGCGGGGAGACCCGAATGGATTTCTAGTCCATCGCCTTAACCACTCGGCCACGACTACGGGACGAGTAGGGGGCTCTGAGACGTGGTAGTAACACAAGAGCTGGGATTCCTGTCATGGATGAAACGTTGAGTGGCGTTGCAGCCGCTCAACGTCTATACAGGAGAGGGCGCTGCGGTCAAATGCGTATATAATCGCGTTAAACTTTGCATACATTAGCTCAACGTTTATAGACGAGAGGACGCTGCGGTCAAATGCTCAAATGCGTATATAACCACGTTCCATACCACACATTCTTTTTCTGACATGGACCGTTGACTTAAGCAGTGGAGATCCGTTCCAAAGGCTTCTAGCGGATTCAAGCTGATCCGGTAGAAAAACCACTGGCTCTGAATTTAAACGACCATAAAACAGTAATAAAAGTCGAAACGCAACCCGGAACTCAGCGCTACGTACGAGTAATAAAAAAAATCAGCACCATCTGCACTACCTCTCAACAATAAAATCAGTATCATCAGCACCACCAGAACATCACCCCAATCAACATTATTCAGCACGTGGAGTTGTTTTGTGTAGTTTTTTTTTATTATGGTGTCTCCTATGCGTGCGTTTAAATTTTTTGTTGCTTATCGCTGGTTAGATACAGCAATCTATAAATTGTTCAATAATAAGCTAAATAATTTTGTATTCCTTTATGTCTGGGTCTCTTTAGCCAGCGTATTAGAGCTGCCTATTTACTTAGTTGCTTTAGCCGTACACAGCGCCTTATTTGGTCTTTTCTATGGAATTTTTATGGCCTACCGTATGGGTGTCTTTAGATGGCGTGCTATAGCGGCTATGCGCTATTCTACAGTTTATATAGCCATCTATGGCTCCTTGTTGGGATATCCTTCCGCAGACTGAGCCTTGGTCAGCGCACCCAGCTGAAAAACGCCCCTGCGTTTCTGAGCTGAGAGGGTGGTAGGCGCACGAAATTTTTATCACTCGACTCCTTTATATGCGCCCAGGCAAGAGCAGGAGTGTGATCACTTGGGGGAAGATTTCCGTATAAAATTACTAGCGGTTCCCCGGGTACCTGCTAGATATAGTTTCCCATGTTGCCGTGGCTTTCAGTGCTACATGAAATTTCGCTCGCTACAGCGTATTCGAAGCATACCGAAGCCATCAGTGTGCGGAATGTCCTACCCATATATCAGCAGCAAGCAAATTCTTCAACGAAGCTCTAGAAACACTTGCTATGCGTTTAGTGTTTGATTTGGTAAATGACAGATTGTGCCACAGCGTGTTGAATCCTCATGGACACCGGTGGTCCCACGTACGTTTAAGAACACTACTCGCTATAAAATTTGTCGAATCTATGCTTATTGTGGAGAAAGCCATAGGTCCCTTTATGTGCCAAAGATTTTTAATCGGGTACCAGACAACATATTTTAACTAATTCTAACCATAGGCTCAAAAATAATCTCAAAAAGTTATTTCATGATACTTCCGTGTGATAGATATACAGTTGACATTTAGTGAATGTTTTTGCGTACTTCGTTTTTTCCTGTTTTGACCTGCTGTTTCTATTAGGATCGTGTTGTACTGCAAGGTCATGCCTCACAAGACTCCCTCGGCTTAGGCAGACCTGCACAAGTATTTGCTCATTCTTATAATAATTTTTTTTCATTTCATTTATTTAGATACCTTCATAACACTATAAGGTGACGGGTCGGTCGAAGCCAGTAGAGGCTTGAAGGACAGAACCCAGCAAATGGAATGTCACAGATAGCATAAAAGAAGTCCGTAGAGCACACATTTAAAACATCTATCGCACTATGTGAGAAACAGAAAATAATTACTCACAATATCCCAGCAAACATATTAGATACAACATATAACACAACAGTACATTATTGAAATTGTACAATGAATTAAAGCGTAAAACTGTTCAATAGATTTTTCAATTTTCTCCTATTTGTAGCTTCAAAGAAGTGGTCGGGGAGTCGGTTAAAAATGTATGGCACATAATAAGAGCGCTCTCGCTTACCATATCTTGTGAAACACCGGGGGATTATGAAGCGATCCCAGGTACGCAAATCTCTGCGGGGCACAAAGGGATGTTTAAATTTGCTACACCAGAAATGAGAAAGAACAACACATTGCAAAAAAAGTTAATGGAAGTTAGGTAGTTGTAGAGCCTCAAAAATGTCAGCTTCTGGTGCAAGATCATAATGATAACCAACACTTCTTAACAAATTCCTAAGGATGCGGTCAATTTTAGTTTGCCATATTTCTGTACAGTTACCAAATAATGTGATGCCATACCTTAGTATACTATAAGCAAGAGCAGTAGCAATTGATTTTCTAACGGCAAATGGCATAAACACCCTATTATTGTAAAGTAAGCAGCACACACTGCGAAGCTTGCCAGAAACATGGGTTAAATGCGTTGACCACGACAAATCTGAATCAAAGAAAATGCCTAAGTACTTAACAGTGTCAACATATTTCAGGGAGCTACATGTACAATCAAGGCAGCTGGATCTGTGTAACATAAATGATGAGTCCAATTCTTCACTCTTCAGCGGATTCCTGAAGCAAACAAGTCTGGTTTTGGATGTGTTAATAGTAATATAATTGTCATAAAACCGGTCCATTAGACGTGCAGAATCATGTTGCAATAACTGCACAGCATTGCGGTAATTAATGTGACTAGAGACAAGTAAAGTATCATCCGCATACTGAAAAATTTTGCAACTAGTGAGCCTTGTTGAGATATCATTAACAAAAAGATTAAATAACAATGGAGACAAAACCGATCCCTGGGGCACACCGGCTTTTAGCATCAGCCGAGCTCTTTTGAAATTTCCTATAGATACGATTTGGCAGCGGTCAAGAAAGAAATTTTTAAGCAATGCAATAAATGGTCCACGGAAACCGAAATTCTGCAGTTTAAAAAGAAGCATCTTATGACTGACCGTGTCAAAGGCCTTGGTCGACATCAAGAAAAATTGCACATGAACATAAGTTTCGATCAAAAGCACTGTGTAGTAGGTCAGAAAAATCTTCCAGCAGTGGTTGAGTGCCCTTTCCAGCAACAAAACCATACTGGTGAGGCGACAGGATGTTGTGAGTTTCAATGAAGCTGGACATTACAAGATACAAATGCTTTTCCAAAATTTCTCCAATGCAAGGTAATACAGAAATAGGGCGATAGCACTCAGGCTTGTTAGGCGATCCTCCCTTGAGAACAGGCTTCACAAGTGCTGTTTTGAGTTCAATTGGAATGACGCCAGAGACCAAGAACTGATTTATCATGGTGAGAAGTACGTGCTGAACATGTCCAAAGTTTCGGCAGCGATCATTAATACGAATTGTATCAACACCAGGAGATTTATTGCGTTTTAAAGAAAACAAAATGGAGTGTAATTCTTCTATTATGAGAAGAGGAAGAAACGCCGAGTTTGATAGACTAATACTTGCGCTCGAGGCAAGCGGTTTAAAATCACTGTCTCGCGCAAAGCCCGATGACGATACAAAAAGTTTGTTAAAGTCGTTTACTACTGATTGCAGATCTGTGCCGAAGTGTTTTTGAAGGGAGTCAAGAAGCGAAGCCTTTTCTCCGCGCCCTGTAAAATAATTAATCAACTTCCATGTTTCACGTGGATTCGATCTTGCCTCAAAGAATCTTCGCTGAAAGGAGCATCGTTGGGCAGACCGTATAATTGCATTAGCTTTGTTCCGAGCGCTTCGATACTCTGCTTTTAACTGCAAATTGTTTGGTGAACGACGGGAACGTGACCACAACGTATCTTTTTCTTTGATTGCAGTCATAATATCAGAATTAAACCATGGCTTATACGACCGTCGTTTGAAATTAACCTTTTTTTTGGCGGCACAATAAAAGGATTGAAATAACTCGACGAAAGCTTTATAAACATTGGAAGGTTCTATGGACACCAGGAGTTCGTTTCAGTCAAAGGCAGCGACCAAAGCATCGAATTGTACCGTATCCGTTATTGAAATCCACGAACAATCGCGCCTGGTTCCTTGCTCTTCGGGTACCTGAGCGTCTAAACGACATCCAACGAAGTAATGATCGGATAGTTTCTGAGTAATTACGGCGGATTTTACAGACATATCCGGAGCACGAATATTGATATGGTCAATACAGGAAACTACTAATTTTTGAACCACAAGTGCTTCTCTTGTGGGTAAGGTGATAATATTTTCAATGCCATATTTTGAGAGCAGAGTCAGATAATCAAAAACTATTGATTTATTAGGTTTTGAGAGTATCGATATTTAAATCGCCAATGACGCAAAATTGTCCTTCCGTAAGAAACTGGTTAAGCACAGCATCTAGTTCAGCAAGAAAGAGCGAAACATTTTCTGAGGGAGGCCTGTAAACCGCGAACAAAAATAAAGAAAAATCTGCCAAAGAAATTTCAACAGCCAGTGTTTCTGCATGGACAAGAGATATGCTCAGAGGCGATAGTAACCATTTATCTTTAACGTATATAGCAATCCCACCACCTCTACCATGATCACGGGTGTAAAATGACTCCTTATATCCATCGAGAATAAATTGATTGCATTGCAAAGATGACAAACCAATTTCAGTTAGAACGAAAACATCTATCGACGCGGTAAAGGTATTAATTACTGCACGAAACTCATCCCAGTGTTTACGAAAACTTCGAATATTTACATGAATAAGTGTTAAAGAGTTATTAGAAAGAGGGCCCAAAAGCTGAATAAATGAACTAATGTCTGGAACAGAAAAACAAGTTGTCATGTTTTACACCAGTAGCAGAAGGTCGTTTTTTGTGTTGATTCGAATGGCTGGTGCGCCTTCGGCTTTCCTAGCAAAAATTTTAGAGTTCTTGGTCCACACAAAACGGTATCCTTTTCCTTTAGCCCCCGTCCTCGTCAGCCAAAAAAGCTCCTTATTCGCAGATGTAAGGTTGTCGTTGAAGAATAGCTTTGGTTGGTTTTCTGATTGGCACAGCCTGTGAAGTCTACCACGTGCCGCCATCCAAGCGTCTTTTAGGGTGACAGAGGCGAAGCGAATCAAAATAACCGGAACTGAGTCCGGCTTTTTGGTCAGACGGTGAATTGCCAGGATATCTGACGACTGAGGTGTTGGAAGGTTAAGGGGCCTAGCGAGATCACTTATGACCTTCATTAGATCCTCACCATGAGAGAGCGGAAAACCATGCAGTTCCATGTTGGAACGACGGCTGTATTGTTGCATGTCATTAAGCTCGTCTTTCAGTCTCTCAATGGTCTCCGACTGCTTTCTCATTGTTGCCTTAACCGTGTTAACCTCCTTTTGAAGTTCTTTAACTGCCTCTTCATTTGTCATAGCCAGAGCGAGCACGGAATCGTACTTCAAGCTAAAAGAGTCAACGGTCGTTTGTAATCCTTGGACCGTGTTGCGAAGCTCTTCGACAGCTGGTTTTAAGGCCAACAACTGATCAACCTTAGATGGAACAGGCAACAGCGTCTCCACACTTGTCCTCAATGAAAGGAGCTGGTTAAGAGTGGCATTGATTGATGCCAGCTGACTGGTGAAGGGTGCGAAATCTACAATCTCCTCCCTGCTGCCGTCGGTACGGGAGGATTCATCGACTGAAATGTCACCGCTAAGATCGGATGGTCTGAGGGTGGCGCCGCCGAATAAAAGTTTATTATTATCATTACTATTATTATTATTAGTTAGCTATTTGTCCTCTCCTGTATTTTCTTTCTTCGTGTTCAAGTATAATTCTAAAGTTAAAGCTGATATTTTTACACGTGTGTACCAACAAACTCAACTCTTAACCGTTATTTAGTGGAGTACGCGGCTTCGATTTGACGTAATTTTTCGGCTTTGATCATCTTTCGTGCCACTAAAGCGATTCCAGTCATTTAGTTTGATGGCGTTTTCGATCGCAGTTACCCTTTAACAGATATCAATCTGATATTCATTAAAAAACAAATAAATATACCCCTTCTGAATAGAATAGATTGGAGGGTTTTGATATCTAGAAATAAACACTTTGTTTTCACCTTGGATACGACAGAAGCGCTTGAAGCCATTCCTAGCCAGCCAAGTCGGCACGCAAGAATGTTTCCCCCATTATCAGAAGTCGCGACATCCACGCGCTGCAGCATGTGCACACTGCCCAGTGGAAAGCTGCTACAAAACGGATGACCGCAGAGAAATCGTTTCTTCTTGTCAATACGCGCCGTGAATTGCGCCCACGTGAACAGAAGACGATGCTAAACAACACCTCTAATTCGCTTAAACAAACGAACAAAAACTATGTAAAAGCACGACAGCCAAGTGGGGTGGTCGTGCGAAAAGTAGTAGGAAAATAAGTCTCAGAAATTCACCGTTAGGAGCATTGTCTGACCATTCTAAGGTTTTTTTTCGTATCGTACCAAAAGCAAAAACAATGATTTTGTTTTTTGTTGCCGCCGCAAGTTGGTTTTATAAGAATAGAAGTTGTCGACGTCGACGAAAACCCGCGACCGGACTCTTAAGGCCTCACCGCACTAGCGTGAACGGCGCCGCCGGGCGGCACCGCCGTCCGGCGTCCCAACACGAGAAGTCCACATTGGCCTCCGTTTTGCAGGCGTCACGTGACAGCACTGGATCCCGCGATCTGCCCTCCTGTCGGATTTCCCTCTTTTTCGTCGTCTGCTCTTCGTTACATTCTTTCGTTCCGCACTCGCTGCCTACATGGTAGGAAACCATAATGACCTGGTGATCAGCGTGAATGTGATTATCCTAGTCTGCTCGTTGATCTTGGGACGTCGCCGCGCTCTGAAGGGAAGAAGGCGCAGGTTTTGGGTCCGGCCGAGTTGGTTCTACCGAAACACCGAAGGACAGGACAGGTCTGGCGCGCCGCCGGTGCTTTGCTGATCCGGCGGCGCGCCAGAGATGACGGCTACTTTCGAAAGTGTCACAAAATCAACACGACATCCGTCACAACACAGACGACATGCAACAAGTGCCACGGAGAAACTCACTCGTAATTCCGAATTCCTCACCTAAAATTTCCCAGCGGTTGTTATTAGCGTCCTTATCTAGGTAGTCTGTCTGCGCCTTGTCATATAAAAAGGAAAGCAGTCGCACAGTTTCAAGGAACCGCTCCGTTGAAAAAGGCATCGGGGGGAAATAGGGAGAGAAGACGACACGAAACACGTCCTTCGGAACGTGAAAGACGCGCCGAGGACCGGCTTGAGCGTTGCCATGGCATCGCGACGTCATTATCTACGCCTCCTCCCAATTGCTCCTCTCTTCTGCGGCGAGCGGCGCCCAGTTCTGAACCGCGCACGGAGCGGTTGACTCTGCGGCGCCGTAAGTCGCGCCGTTGAAGCCGAAAACAGGTTTGGGTCGGCAAACGGCAGCGCCGACCGGCGCGCCGCAGGCCTCCGCGACGCCAATGTGATCGTGCCTTTAGGGCGCTTATCATAAAGTCAGTCGAAAGTAGGAAATCAGGGTTATGCGTAAGGGCGGAAATCTATTAACTGAGTAACATGAAATATCTCCGAGCGCGGACATATTTAAAAACAAAAACCGGTGCAAAAAAAAACAAAAAACTTCACGTAAAGTTTGTATCCGAGCGAGCAAAAAAGAAAAAAAAAACGCGTTGAGTAAGTTGCTTCAAGGCGTAAAATCGCGCGTTACCTCGTCGAGGGGAACACGCAAGCGAATCGCGCGATTGGCGATCGTGAAACGGGAAAGAATCAGAGACTCAAACCGAAAAATAAAACGTTTCGGTTACAGTTACGTTTAACGTTTCGTGTTGATATGGCTTTCGTTTCGGTTATTTACGGTTTTAATTTTTAACGTTTCAACCACCGTTCCTAAAAACAATCCTTTTTTTGTTATAGCGGAGCTGTTCAGGGCTAGCTTCTCCAGGATCGTGTCCACCAGCAAACAAAGGATGGGACAAAACTCTGGACAACTACCGCCATCTATGACCGACGGCGGCAACCTTTCCAGCCTTTCCATTTTGGCTTGTAGACTTGCGGCCGGCCAACGTGAATCAACTGGCTATATGTCCTCGCCAATTGACATAGCTAATCGTTTTTCTGATTACTTTAGTCACTGCTATTCTAGTTTTAGAACTGCCAGTGCTTCAGACAACATTAACAACACAGACTTTTTATTTGCTTTTACTGTCGATGTCTCAGTAGTTCTTGAGGCGATAAAAAAATTAAAACCTAAGTTCTCAACGGGAATAGACGGTATAGCCAATTATATTAATAAAGCTTGTTCCGATATATTTGCTCCATTTTAGAACATGTATTTAACCTATCTCTCATGAAGGGTACTTTCCCTAGTTTGTGGAAGTCTTCTATACACTCCGTGCGGGAACTATAGGGGGCGCTTTGAAAAACGCGCGCAGCGCCGCTAGCGGAGGAGCTGGCGTTCGACCGTGAGGCGCGTTCAGCAGCCTGCGGCGCCTTTTCGTATGCCAAGTTGTGGCGGCGGAAGCGCGCGAGGACGAAACTTTTGCTTCTTGAGCCGATACGTTGAGGGTGACATTGCATGAGTGCTGGGGCGAACCTAAGAAAGGCATTTAGCTGTTCTCCACTTCTTATATATTGAGTTTGAGTCGTTATTAGGGGTAAATTCTCTAGTTGCAGCCAAAAAAGGAGTTGGAGCGATTTTCCGAAAAATCGCTCCAACTCTTGTATACCCACCCTATCATAGTCTCAATAGAGACTGATAGTATTTTGAAATAAATAAATAATAAATAAAGACGGCCGCCACCATAATTGCTCTGAGTGGGAAATTTACTTTGCTCGTCGCTGTAAACGTAGGACTGCTGGAACGATGATATTGGAGGCGAGTGAGATGTTCACTAAGTTTGTGCACGAACTGTGCCAAGTTTGATTAAGACAGCAGGTGTGAAAGTTAGGTTTCTAACGAATAAAAAAATAAAGCTGTACGGTATATCCAATATTGAACCCAAAATGTTGTGTTATAGCGGGCTGTGCAAAGTGCAGATTTGGGCACACAGGTGCTTGGACTTGACAGTAACATGACACCGCACTTATTATACAAAAAAAGGTGTTATAGGCAAACCAGATGAAAATTTGGTTTGGGCGGCGTAACTCAATGGGAACCGGTTTTGACCATGAAAAGGCTGTCAAAAGAATACCACTGGTCGGGGGGGGGGGGGGTGGAAACTTTAGAGGTAGGAAGGGACTAGTGGACTCTACTTCCAATTGAAACAACTTTACGAAAGGTGGTTCCAAAGCCGAGAAAACAAAGTTGTCGGCCAACACACGGTTTGGCCGCCAAGGGCTTTTGCGGTCAGCTGTTGTGTAATAACCTGTTGTGCGAGGTGCTGATTTTCGGCGCACAGGTACTTTGACATGACCGTCACTTGGCACAACAGTTATTATAACAAAAATGCTTGGCATAGCGAAACCAGGTGGAAATTTAGTTTGGGCGGCGTAACCAAATGGGAACTGGCTTTTACCATCAAAGGCTGTCAGATATTACCACTCATCGTGGGAGGTGCACACTTTATTGGTAGGAAGGGACCAGTGGACGGTACTTCCAGTTCGAACCACTTTGCGATGGGTGGCTCTAAAGCCGAGAAAGAAACAAAAATGTCTACAGAACTCGGGGTGTCAGCGTTTCCACATCTAGAAGGAGGCTGATCAAGAAAGAAAGCATACCACATAAACTTCCACACTCAAACGCCGATTCTCCAGTGATTCCGAGTTTCATTATTGTTTTCTTTAGATTTATATTTGTCACTTTTTTTTACTCTTCGAATCTTTCTTCATGAAGTACAGATTGCGTGCCATACTTGTCCGGAAATATCATCGACACGTACGATGGGGACGAAACTTGTTTGGAGGGCATTCCTCCAACGAGATTGGCACAGCATACCCGCGAGTGTGGGATGGCATTTCAGTTCGTCCCATCGGCGCTGACACATGTAGGCGTTACTGGTACGAAAACAAACGCAGAGCGCAAAGCGGCAGTGTAGAATATGTCAGCCGTGCCGACACAGTGGCAGACATGATCGGGACACCAAATTTCTCGCGTCGTACGGCACGGCTTTATCGTTGTCGCTGCCCCACAAAACATCGGCGAGGTGAAAAACTGTGAAACTTTGTCTCCACGAGATACGACGTATAACTATTGAAGAACTTAATGACGCAGCACAGGCAGCACTTCATGCTGTGAACCCAGCGCAATCGCACCACTCCGACTTTAATGCGTACCAACGTACGCGGCGTGGTTTCGGTTTCGTTTTCTCTGGAGTTCTCACTGCCCACCTTCGGTACCGGCCGCGCGGCGGCGCGCCAGTCGCGTCGCACGGAGTGTATAGTTGTGCCCATATTCAAAGCTGGTGATCCGTCATTAGTTAGTAACTATCGTCCCCTTTCGTTATTGTGTGGTTTTGCGAAGGTTTTCGAAATGGTTATGCATAACCGGATCTCAAATTACCTACGTCAAAAAATTAGTCCTTTTCAGCATGGATTTTTAAAGGGAAAGTCCGTTGAAACAAATTTGTGCTCTTTTCTAGATTCCTCTGTGCCGATAGTCACAAACAGAGGCCAAATTGATGCGGTATATTTTGACATGTCGAAGGCTTTTGATCGTGTATGTTATGATGTCATGAGGCTTTCTGATCTTAGAAGAAGAGGACATTCAGTGAGCACGCTCGCAGGAGGTGGCACGCGCTGTTGCGTTTGGAACTGACGAGCAATCGCCATAGCTGCTGCCATGATTCCGTGTGTTACATATTAAACAGTTTTCTTAAACCATCCTCCTGAGCTTAACTAGCAACATAACATGGTGTCAGAAGTGGTGAGCAGCTCAACGTCCATATTTTTCATTTAACAAGCAACAGCAGCAACAATATGGCATCTGCTTTCCTACAACCGCCGGCTCCGTTCCAGCCTGGTGACGACCCAGCAAGAGCATGGGAGGAGCGGAAATCACCGAGTACTGCATCTTGCAGGATGTCCTTCTTCAAGACTGTGGCGAGGACTTGCCGCTAGTTCAGAATGATTCCGAACAACGAGAGTTCAGTGCCTTTCAGTACCTCAAGAAGCTGCTGGACATCGCAAAACGCAAAAGAGAGGCCCTGGAAAACCAGCTTGCTAAGAAAGAGGAGCAGTTCAATCTACTTCAGCAAAAACTATCAGTACTTAAAGGACCGGTACCAGTGTCCGTTACAAGATCTCGGGGCATTTATCCGGAGCATCATCGAAGCATTTGTCCGGAGCATCATCGAGCACACCAACCAGCCGTCAGAAGCTGCAGTGTCTCTTGAAGCAAGTCAGCTGGAAAACTTGAACCGTATGCTGGCAGTGCTTCAGGGACGGGTCACATCCTTGACAGTTAGGAACAAGCTCCTCGCTCAAGAAAGTCAGCAGTGGAAATCATTTTGTGAAGATGCGAGTGAAAAAATTAGATGCGTGTCAAATGAAAGTCGCCTCTGGCAGCAGAGACACGAAAAGGTGGCGGAGACTTTGCGAGAGAGAGAGAATGCTGTTAAGTGTAACAATTCGTCGCAAACGGAAGCAGACGGAAGCTCCTTTACCGAGAAGGCAGAAACAGAGTGCGAGGGGTTAGACCAGAAAGTCAGCAGCCTCCTAAAACGCAACGGAAAGCTAGAAAGCGAAGCCGACGTTTTGTGGTCAGAACTTTCCTACCTGGAGGAGCAAGCTGAGATGCTCGTCAGCGACAACAAACATTTTCAACAGCTAGCTGAGAACTTAAAACAGGCACGAGATTGCCTCGAGGAGGAGTTGAAGACTCTGCGCGAGCAACACGTCAAGGTCAACAAGGAGATGGAGAACGAGCACTGTACTGCGCTGGAAAAAGCGGCCAAGTGTGAGGCAGCACTATCAGCGCTGAAGACAGACCACTCCCAGCTGTTGGACAAGTATAACCACATTGTATACGGACACAGGAACCTGCAGGAAGAGTTTCACGCGGCAGCCCAAGAGAAACGCAGTTTGGAGGGCAGGTGCGCTCAGCTCACAGAAGAGTGGGCAACAGCCAGACGAGCTCTCGCAGTCTTCGAGGAGCAGCAGGGCGCGGTGGGACAAAAGACCATGCAGGAGCTGCAAGAGCTCTGGCAAGCAAACCAGCAGTTGCAAAAGCGCTTTCGCCTCTTCAAGGACAAGCATCTCAAGGCTGAAGAACGGTTGGTACAGGCGCCAAACCAAAAAGTGGAATCCTCGATGGAACATGTCACCGAGGGCACTGGGGGTACAGCGAGAACTTCGGAGGCACCAGCAAGCCGAGTCGAGATAGAGGAACTCTCCCGGCGGTACGAGTCCCTTTTGGAGCAGTCTCGTGCCGAGGAGAACAAGTGGAACCAGGACAAGCAGCAGCAGAAACACATCGAGGACTTACAGGCGCAACCGGTACCACACCAAAGAAGCACATGGAACAGCAGAAACGAATACAGCTGCTGAAGACTATTTCCCTACAGTCTCAAACGAAGCTGCTGAAGACTATGTCCATACAGCTTCAAATGACGAATCACTTGAACACATCTCCACGTCTACGAGGTCAACAGGATAACCAAAAAACAACAAGAAGTCGACGCGTCGTGGTGAAGCCGCTACAATACAGAGACTGACAACTGCCGCTATCGCATTGCGTTATTTTCAAAAAAAAAGAAAAAAGAAGGGGGGCATGTTATGATGTCATGAGGCTTTCTGATCTTAGAAGAAGAGGACATCCAGTGAGCACGCTCGCAGGAGGTGGCACGCGCTGTTGCGTTTGGAACTGACGAGCAATCGCCATAGCTGCTGCCATGATCCCGTGTGTTACATATTAAACAGTTTTCTTAAACCATCCTCCTGAGCTTAACTAGCAACGTAACAGTGTAGATCATGCTTTACTCCTCAGCAAACTTTCTTTTTATGGCATGTGCCCAAAGCTTTGTGAATGGTTCAGGAGCTTCTTGAGTTCACGCAGTAATACTGTTCGTGTTGGGAACTCTTTTTCGAAGACTTTCGCATACAGTTCTGGTGTACCCCAAGGCTCGAACCTGGGACCACTGTTGTTTATTTTGTTTGTAAACGATATAGTATTATGCTGCAATCACTCAAACGTCCTTCTTTTTGCTGACGGCATAAAACTCTTTTTAAATATTAAAGACCATACTGATTGTACTCTATTGCAAACTGATATTAGTGCAATTTCAGAGTGGTGTGGAAAAAATGCTTTGTCGCTAAATCCTGAAAAAAACTGAAGTGATTTCTTTATAGAGAAAGCGGGACGTTTTTTTTGTTTTTTTTTTTGCCCTTATTTTGCTCGAGGGCAATGTGATTGATCGTGTATCTATGGTAAGAGACATTGGTGTCTATATCGATAGTACTCTATCATTCACTGTGCACGTTTCTAAGATCATTGGATCAGCGATAAAAAAGTTGGGAATGATCACACGTTTATCGAGTTCTTTCACTTCACCATTATCTGTGCGTTTATTTTGTAGCCTTGTACGCTCAGGACTTGAATTTGGTTCGATTAGTTGGAATTCACTATCTTTAACACAACTTGAAATCATTGAGCGTGTGCATAAGAGGTTTATGCGAATTAGTTATGACCGATACATTGGTTGGAAACTGTTTTTTAGTTGCGATTTGTTGCTGTCTTTATCTAGCCTTGAGAAGCTATCAACGAGGAGGGCTGTTAGAGACATTCATTTTCTTCGTAAGGATGTGCATGGTATTGTTAATACTGAAAATTTACTTATGAATTTAGACTTTCATGTGCCATTCAGAGCTAGTCATTTTTTAACATTTTATCCTACTAGAATTTGTGAATCATCGCCCTTGTGTCGTGTGCAGTCTGCCTATAATGTTATATGCGATTGAGATGTTGATATTTTTCTTGATTTTGTTAGCTTCAAGTCGGCCTTGAAAAAGTATATTTTATCCAACCAAAAATTAATGTCAGCTTGTAAACTTGTATTTGTGTCCTTACAAATGTCTGTATAATTTTGTGCATGTTTGTATTTTTAATAGCGTTGCTGTGAACACGAAATGACAGTTCACCACACAAAACGCGTTACAGCTGTTTGTGGGCAGTAAAGAAAAATAAAACATTACCATTATCATTACTTTCTTCTTCGTCCTCGTCTCTTTTTCGCGCCGTTTCCTACGTTCTTATCAGTTGCCGTTTGGACTCCCGATGGGTCGGCCGCGTGCCCTTTCTTCGGAGGAAGAAGAGCGGGACCGGAAGGAGCGGCGACGTGGCGCAGCAGCACGAATGCCTCTGCAACCACCGCAAAGACGCCACCGCCTCAATTTCACTGCGTCGAGCGCTTCAGATTCCCTTCCGAAAGAAGGGCAGATCGCTCGCCTGAAAAGCCACCACAGAGAACAGAAGCTACAGATCCGCTATTCTCCCTTCTTCACCAGTGTGGAATGATTTGTTTTATATAAATGCTAGGCAGCCGTTTTATAATAAATGGTTCAAAGTGGTCCCACATATTCAACAACGAGACATTCACAGTAACAAGGCACTCAAAATCATCTTAGTTTTTTTCTAATTGGTCAAAAGTTACACACGTTTCTATGTACAATGCTTGGTCCCCCTTACATCTATTTTCATTATATAGTTTGATACACGAGGATACATGTCACCCCCGCTACTCGACAATCATCGCATCCTATATAATGAAAATAAACATCGGTACTTTGTTGTTCAGCAGCGTTTGTAAACAACCCTCAAAAAGTTGCCACTGCGTGCTCGAAGAACTACTATTCGCACTCACCTCCTCGTCGCTATAGTTCGTTGCAACCGAACATATGCAGAAGAGGTTTTGTTCACACTGAAGGAAGAAGCAGAACTATAGTCGTCCTCTAGTAAAGTACTTCCAAGTTGAATAAAGGAATAAAATTAAGAGCTGAGCTAGTTGGCGAAAATTCAAACATAATGTAAATGCAATATCGCAAAACAAGAAAGAAAATTGAGAGAAACAAAAATATGTAAAAATATGTCCTGTCTTAATTCGACACGAGTGCATTGGTGAAGTTAAACAAAAACAGAAAAAATAAAAATAGGGACGGACAAAGCAGCACCCTATGTTTATTCTTTCTTTTTTTTTGTATATGTCCTGTGTTGTTCATTCAATTTTCTAGTCTTCGTTGTTGTGCGCTGTTACACATACCTCATGTTTTCTATTTCTCAGCAAATGCATGTGGTTGTGGAAGCGCACGTTTCCCGCTGTTAGATTCTGTGACGCTAGAATTTTTAATTTAAAGTCACGTCGACTTTTGAATTTTGATTAAAAAAATGCATGTCTTGGCCGCATTCCGGAAATTACAAAGAGTGCAAACGGCAAGCTTGGTGAATGTTTTTGTTTTCAGGTTATTGGCCATTGAAGAAGCCGAGGCGAAAACTGGCGCTTCTTCAACTTGTCGGAATAGCATGTTTGACCACTCGTTATTTTGTTACTTATCAAACTCTTTCACAAGGACTCTTTGATGACACTTTCTAAGCAGTTTTCATTGCGCTCATGAAGTAGGATTTTTTTATACTTTAGAAATTCAAAACAAAAATGCTGAACAGTTTGCCTTTGATCATTTCTGGCAAAGTTTAACAATATTTTACGTATTACCTGTCCGCGATATATTAAGGAAGTTGATATGATCAAAAAGCTCAAATTTATTTATTTCGATTAAATATAACTTCGATATTATGTGTGAAAAAACAATGTTCGACATATGTTAGAAAACATGATTGCGCTTTGAAGACGGGGACATAGGAAGGACAGACACCACAGCGCTCTGTGGTGTCTGTCCTTCCTATGTCCCTGTCTTCAAAGCGCAATCATGTTTTCTAACGTACCATGCCAACTTGCCCAACAATCAGCACTTGTTCGACATATGTTTGAATTAACCAATGTTTCAAAATTCTTGCGAATTCGACATCGGTTTTATTCAAAATACCAATTTTTAATTCCTTTCATATTTAGCGGCAGTAAGTTATGACAGCGGTTCATTATTAATTATAAATAGAAAGTGTAGTATATGGCTTCTGTGTCCTCAATGAAAGTGTGGCGGTGCGTCCCTCTACGATCACCAGAGCCTACCAAGACACCATTCTCTGAAGTGGCTGCATGCTTCAAAAGGAAGAGAAGGACGATCACGGACCCCAGCTCGAGGCGTCGCTGTGCGAGGATATAGAAGACGACCGGCCTGACGGAGAAGAGACCGCACTGCAAGTTCCGGCTGACTGGCCCATGCCCGAGCTCCGGTTCCTTTCAAACTAAAATATTTTACCCTGAAAGTAAAAACCGAAAATACAACACCCCGGCTGACGGCATCTTCCGCGGAGGCATTGCGAAGCTGCCCGAGTGTTTGTCGTAAAAGCACATTTTGGACTTAAAACAAACGAAACATAACTTATTTCGTCGGTACTGCTCTTAAAGATCAATAAGCTATTATTTGTGCGCAATACTTCGTGAAAATCTAGACGTAAAACTACAAGGTCGCGTGTCTTGTGGTCAAAAATGTGCCACACGGCGGCGACCAAATGGGCTTCTCTTTTCCGCTGCCAGTTTATCGCTCTGAGGCCCTCTGCGTCGCTGGGTTTTATGGACACAAATCGCGCTACACTGTCCGCGTTCAAGTTCTTAGGTGTCTATCTAAGTTCGTGTTCAAGGGCGTTCTTGAGAGACCACAAATGGGGCAGAACGCAAGCGGTACAGTGCACGGGACTGGAGCTCCTCTCTAACACGAAAAGATGTGTAAAGAAACAGCCAGAAACAGCAAAAATATTAATAGCAGAATATTATAAGAAAGCATGTATTTAGATAGTAGTTCACTGCGATACTGAATTCACGTTCGCACAAGTCCAAATTCAGGCCAATCACTGTTCAAGACTTGAACGCAGCCGTCTCACTGCCGAGAGCCTAGTCCCAGAAGGGTAAAATGAATTCATTGTTCAAGCAAGCTTCCCTGTCCACTTTATCGACCCAGCATGAGTCCTACTATTCTGGAGTTCTACAAACTTTTTCTAATATGACGGCATTGTCCCCTCAGTCTTTTGCTTTTCCCCACACGTGACAGGACTGATTGTGCTTTGACGCCTTAAAGGGACCATGAAATGACCTTTTTACTTTTTCCAGATAACTTTTACATTAAACCGTCAATGTTCACTGAATGCCGAACACGCATCCGTTTTCGTCTCGATTTATTAAGTTCTGCACAAAAAAATAATGAAATATCGACTTTTTCTTTCTCCAACTGACGGCAAAACAAGCCGTGACGTACGCTGTTTCCGGAACCGGAAGTTCTCTCTGCAGTAGGAGAATGGGAGCGTTAGCGGCGGCGAGTTGGGGTGCGCCGGTAGGTTTTACTGCGTTGATGTCACCGACGTATTTTCTGAATTGGCGCCTCTCATCGCCGCATCGCAGCTGAGCGAAATTCAACGAGATATATTGCGCTACAGCGACACCATGGGACTAGTCCCATACGCCGGTGTGCCTGTTGGGAAGTGCAGCGAGTCTTCCGGTGAATAATGCGGATTCTTGGGCGAGTTGGTACTGAAACTTGGAGAACATACTAGCGCTTCCCGACAGGGACAGGGACAATCTCAAAAGGATAGCAAACCGCCTAAACGCTCGGGTGGTTTTTTCTGCACCCGAAAAACTTGCCAAGTTGTGCAAAATGACGGACCCTTCCCGCAAACCACCGGTTGGCTGCGTGAAGAAGCATCGCAGCCCATTTGTAGATTGCGCAGAAGGCGTCGTTTATGAGATCCCGCTGACGTGCGGTAAAAAGTACGTTGGACAGACGGGAAGATGTCTAAATGACAGATTGCGCGAGCACAACCTAAAAGTGAGCGGACAGCGTGACGGTCATTTGTCGATGCACTGCCATGACTGTGGGTGCAAACCTGAATTTAATTTGTGCACTGTCATTAGAAAACATAGAGATAAGACGGTAAGGGAAATTATAGAGGCGGACCTGATAAGAAACTACGGGGATCGATGTGTCAGCGTGGCGTCGATCGATTTGGCAGACAAAGAGATACAGTTCTTGCGATCAGTGGCGTGGCTTGGGATTGGTTGAATGGCGCGATGATGCAGAGTATTTATACCTTTGATTTTCTGACGATTAAACCAGTTGAAGTTAGCGCATTGTGTTGTCTCGTTCCTACCCTTCGTCCCTGTCGTGAAGCGCTAGTATGTTCTCCAAACTTCCGATGAAGACTCCAGAAGTCAACCCAACTGTCATTGTTGGTAAAAGGCGGCCCGTGTCAGTCGTTTGCAAAGCGACGTATATGGAAACAAATTTCCGCGGCGTTTTTCGAGGCCTCGGAGATGCAGGAGCGAGCCGACGTTAAAAAAGATACGTTTGAACTACGAGTGTCAGCAAGAGCCACGTGAATACCTGTTCACACTCGGAGCGGACGCGCGCGTTTGATGGAAGTGCTGTATTCGCGTTGTTGGTAAGCGCTTCGGGACCGATCTTTTACGATTGCAACTCGATACTGACGCGACACTCGGCAAAGAAATGTTGGACCGGCATTGCACGTATACCTCCCACGAACTGTTATAGCTCGACAGTGACGTGCAGTCTGTCAGAATAAAAATGGCGTACCAATAACAAAGTGTACAGTCTCCGGCGATATGAAAGACCCACTGGGAGCGCGTGGCCGAGGCAGTGGCTGGCGGGAGCGCTACGAGCGCTCCGGGCAATTCCATTCTACTTCAAGGGGAGGACGCTCACTCGGGGCTCAGCACAAACTGATAAGCGCGCGCTTTAGCTGAGCCCCGAGTGAGCGTCCTCCCCTCGAAGCAGAACGGAACTGCCCGGAGCGCTCGCAGCGCCCCCGTCAGCCACCGCCTCGGCCACGCGCTCCCAGTCGGTCTTTCATATCGCCGGAGACTGTACATACCGTGTTACGAAAGTAATCCATACGGCGTTTATTTCAGCTCTATATCACACAAAACAAGAAGATAGAATCGACGAGAGTCCCTTTTCGACGAGTGTTCGTCAACACTGCCTCGGAAAACAAGGGGAAGAGATTGACTTCACATCTTAATCTAAAGTTGAGGTCAGCGATCAAACTATAATACGGGAAGGGTCCACAAGGGTAGCGCGGGCATATTCCATTCAGCACGCCAGCCGGTTGTAGGCAGACGGTCTTGCGACAAAGCAACGCTGCGCCGAGTCGGAGTGCCTGCTAGGCCTATATTCTGAGGAGCTCGCTTCGTCGGAGTCGTTCGATTCGTGGCCATTGTCGCTGTTCTCGGGTGTTTGTGGATCCAGCGTTCTTGTTCGTCGTGGTCTGTTTTAAGTACTTTTTTTTTTGCTGCTTGAAGTCGGCACGCGCGAGAAGAACACGTAGAAAGATAAACGTTCAGTCAGTCAGAGTTTTGAGAGGAAGGAAATCAAAGGAAATAAACGTTCGTCGCGACCCAAGTAACTGAAGTCGGCCCTGCCCTACTGCGCACGCGCAGTAGTTACTTCGTTTACCACACGATAGATGGCGCTTGGCTCTCAGCATTATCAAATTTGGCAATTTTCGCCACGCATCTCTAATTATGCTACAAAGTGCGGATCTGAATATTATTTAACAAAACTTTTAGGAAACATTCGCCGGCTATTTATTGTTTACGATCGCGGTGCTGGTGAGGTAGGCTCTTACCCAATAGGCGACGTGGATTCGGCTGACGTGCTCCGTTTCCGCGGATGCATCGTAGTGAAAAGGCGAAGGAAAGAAGGCGCAAAAGAGTCCAGTTTTCTTTTAAAAGTTGTATAGCAAATCATTTTTTTTTTTGGCTCCCTATTTTTGGGTTTTGGGGTTTCTTTTCACACCTTTTACGACGTGCGGTGGATGAAATTCGATTTTAAAATCATTTCATGGTCCCTTTAACTACATGAGCCGGTATAGTACACTCCTACCGGTGTGTGAGTATGATGGCTGATGGTGTTGTGCGCACGGGAAAAGACGTTGTGCACACATACGTGCGCACAACGTCTTTTCCCGTGCATGTGGGGTCGCTATGCAGCCCGGCGATTCGGTCGGTGGAGCGAACAACCGAATAAGCATTGGCGAGCATTCTGACGTGTCGCATGGAGCAACGTGTCCGCAGCTGACAGCTCGCAGAAACAATGGCCTACTTTTGCTGTTCTATACACGTTTGCAAGTGCAGACTCAGGGCGCCGCCATCTTGCCCAGTGGGGTGCGCTTGGGCACGGCCGTAATGCGATTATGACGCCGTAGGAAGGCTTCGTAATCGGATTAGGACGCGTCCAAGCGCACCCCAGCGAGCAAGATGGCAGCGCCCTGAAGCCAGACTTGCAAAAGTGTATAGGGTGGCTCAAGTCACCAGGCTCGATCTAAAATGGACCGTAAAAATCGACGCCTGCACGTAGCAATCTAAACTTTTCGTCAAAGGTGTATTTCACAGGTCGGTTTTTTCTTGTAAAATTACAAAGCGTAGTTCTCTTTCTGTAAAAAAATGAGGCCAAGAAACTTGCCTGGGTCAACGGCGGGCGGCGACGCAGACGACCAAGTCGAGGGGCGGGGTGTGTTTGACGCTCTTATTGATAGATGGCGCAACCTCCTTGTTTCAGTCAGAGCTCTGGTTTCGGTTTGCTTTTAAAGAAATATCGAAAGTGCCCGCGTCGGCCTTGGTTTATTGACACGAACATAATCTTTTTTGTAATCTACCTTTGGCTTCAAAATAAATGCAGACAGAGATAGCAATACTTCAAGTAACAAAAATAAAAGAAAACGCGGTTGCATGACGACAACGCCCGACCCCTCTTCAGCGTTTGCTCTGCCAAAGAGGAAAGGGGTAGGAGAGTTTACCTCCCGAATTGTGCATATGTCCCGAACTATAACATATAACCAAACTCAAGGGTTTCTCGTTGTTTTCGAGATGATATCTTCGCACTATCTATGAGAATTAGTCGCTCGCTATGTAATTATTTCGAGCCCACGGCAAACGAATGATACGTAGAAAACCATATCTACGCAGGCTGAAATTGTTCCGAGGATGCCCGATAGATGGCGCCAGCGTATTAAGCAGTTACGCTAGTGTGTGAAGCGGCCTGCGTCCCTCATGCTGGGAACGATGCTCGAGTTCGTCTGCCCTTCGCGCACCTCTTCCGTTTGTTTACCATCCAGATGCGCCCACGTGCTTTTCTTTTCCCCGATCTCGAGTAATGAAAGCGAACACTGGGCTGCTTCGTCATCGTGCGTCGCGCTCTCCGTGTCGGTTGGCGTGTCCCTTCTTGCCTTCTGACGCGCCAAGGACGCGAGGTTTTGGGCCACTTGGCTCTCCGTATGGTCTGCTCACCGGCGGGTCTTTCCTCTTTGCAGAACATGATGGCGGACGAAGACGTGGTGATCACGGGCTTCTCGGCCTACTTTCCCCAGGCCAACCACCTGGCCGAGTTTCGGAAGAAGCTCTACGATGGCGTCGACATGGTCACCGACGACGAGGCACGCTGGCCCAGAGGTACGTCGCGACGAACTATCCGCCCGTTCCCCGTGCCCATCTCCCCAACAGTGTTTCCCTGGCAAAACTGCTTGACGGGCCACGGAGCCACTGCCAGGCGTACACGGCAGGATAGCGCCAATGCATAAATAGGTGAAAACTAATAAGTAGTTATTGCGAGAAGAAAAAAAAATTGCTACACAATATACGAGTGCGATTGAAAAATTATTCGAGTTCTGCCTGTATGATTTATTTTGATCAAAATCTTTACAAACTCAAACATCTCGCGAATTATTGACACCTCGGCCAATTTTGAAACCTAAAATCCACTGCCACTCGTCTATCCGACAGAATCATGCACGATCAACGTCGGCATTATTCGTGAACGCGAACCGCGTCCTTCATTGTGACTGATATTGCGCGTCCTTCCTTCCGTAATCATTTATTTGCGACAAAACATTTTTTTTTGTGCTGTGCGCAACCTCTTCGATAAATATTGGCACCAAAGACACCCTCAGACCAGAAGAAACAGTGGCTTGCGCAGGTCTTGTGCTCTTTTGCCAATCGCAAGTGGGCAGCTATTCGCAATCTTCAGCGCGACTCAGAATCGCGCTTCCTAGCTCCTGGATGATCGGCTTCAGCATAAAACTGCTTGCCTATGCCTTCCCAACGTGAAAAACTAAAGGCTTTAATTCTGCTCTTATACAGCAAAACTAGATTTGCTTACGGTCTCGCAGTGCTGTTCTGCGGCGATCATCCAGATCTGGCCCCCACGCTCAAATGAGTCTGAGACCGCTGGTTTCGAGGCTGGTTCACGCATTCGGGTTCTGTCGTGACTGCACACAAGCACACAGACGCCATCTCTCGGGAAGGAATCTCCGAACTTTTTGTCTTTGAGGGCTAAATGGGGGATCTTTCCCAGTCTCGAGGGCAAAACAATTATTGAGGAAATACTAAATAACTAATCTTAAATAATCATTTAAGTAAGAAGTTAGAAGTTGGAATAAAATTTTAGATATATCTTAGGTGGATATACTTTGTTTTAAAATTTATTATTTAGCTAAATATGACATTGCACAAAAATTAGAACCCAGAAACCTCACTGAGCATTAAACAAAGCGCAATAAGTCATAGGGCAATAGGGCAATAGACTAATAAGGGTCGAACTGATTCGAACAATATTCTATAGTTACCACGACACAGGACGCCATAATTAACTATAATGAGAACTCGAAGGAATGTACACATCCGTAGTTAGACATAACACGGGGTCTAAGAATGAGGCTGCTGGTGATGACAATGCCCACTTCTTAACACGACGAAAGAGCCAGCGTAACGATAGGCAGTTTTCTTTCGTTCTTTTTTGTATCTTAGTGAGCGCGCTTGGTGTGCGTCGCGGCGCCGTTTCCTTTAGCGCGCGTATTTCTGCCCCCGAAGCAGCGGGTCTGTATAGAAGCGGGCCGCGGGCTGGGCTACATTGAAATGCCCACGGCAAGCCACGGGCCGGTCAGAAGACGTCCGCGGGCCGGGGTTTGGAGAGCCCTGATCGTATGACAGCCATTTTGATAGGCACCAGTGCAGACGTAACACGTTCAAACATGCTGCAGACTGGAGAGAGAGCGACCTCCTACGAAAAGACAGTGCGGCCAACGAACGTTTCAACCGTCGTGCGGATAATTTTTCAATCACCCTCGTACATTTTGTAGTTGTTCCTAGATGAACAAGATCTTACTTCTAAAAAAAAAATATTCTATAAATTTATTTTTGATATGTTTATTAGACACATTCATATCCGAAGTTATTCGGTATTTTATATCTTTCATATGTCGCACATAAGTTTCAGCTAGGCTAGGTCGCGCTAGGTACCGCCCAATTCCATGTCCTACAAAAACATTTCTATTTGCTTACGCCACCATTACATTTCGGGCACCATTATTATACACACATGTAGATACATTACGAATACCACTACCATCAGCTGAACAAATACATTGAGCGCATACACATAGAGAGAAAGAAAACAGGTTTATTGGAAAGATGAAGAGGTTATCCCGCGGGAATTCGCAGGATTGCTATTTCATACATTGGAAAGGAAGAAAGAGGAAAAAAAGGCAAAGAAAGAAAAGGAAAGAAAGAAAACTTTGAGGATGACTGTCAGATACTTTTGGAGCGTGTCCTACAGTGTTTTATCAAGTTTGGTCGTTTGGAGAAAACGAATCAATGACCTCGTCGGCTTGAGTTCTTACGATGCTGATGGCCATGGGCCCAGGAGATGATTGAGCGTGAGCGGTTCTTTGTTGTGAAGAGCCAGTTAGTTTATCATTTCCTTTCTTTGGTCAGCGTAGAGGGCGCAGTGACAAAGAACATGTTCCAGCGTTTCTACGATGTCACAGCTCTCGCAGATAGAGGAGTCCAGCTGACCGGTGAGATTTAGATAATATTTCGTTGAGGCCACGTTCAGTTGTATTCGGTGAAGAGCGGTTTCTGTCCGACGTTTGAGCCCCGTGGAAGGCGAAAGGTGAGAAAGGGGTCAATCATGGGAAGGTATCTGTAGTGATATAATAGATTCGCCCAGAGGGTGTTTACTAGAGCCGCAGTAATACGGTTGGTTGTAGCTCTGGCGTCTGAACGTGAGAAAGGAATTACCCGTCTGGGTGTAAGATGACGAGAATTCTTGACTGCAAAGTCTGAACTTTGGTTGCCTGTGATACCACAATGACTCGGGATTCACTGTAAAATTAGTGTGTGACCGTTATTTATTGCCCCTTCGTGAATTTTTAGGATCTGATGTACCAGCTGAGCATTAATATTCTTGCTCCTGGTAGATTTACGGCTCTGAAGAGCTGCCCTTGAATCAGTAAAGAGTGGCATTGTTTGGGGCACACGTAGAAATAAAGCGAATTGCTTCTCTAATCGCTACTAGTTCTGCTGACGTCGATGATGTTACATGGCCTAGCTTTCCGTGTAGTATTTTATTTATTGATAGTATAACAAAGCAGTAGCTAGAAGTTTCGTGAGTAGAAGACTCATCAGTGTACACATGAATTCGGGAACGGTGATGCATATTAATTGTTTCTAGAAAATGTTGCTTCAATACCTCCGACGGAGTACGTTTTCTTGAATGTATCTCTGAAACGTCTAGTTTTATAGAAATTATTGGATATATCTAAGGCGGAAATACGGAGAACTCTGCTGGTTCAAAATCTCGTGGAAGATTCGCGTTTTCAACATTCACGATTTGGGAAAAACCAGACGCGCTTCTGCTGTTTGCGATATCTGCTGGGTCGTGGTCTCTGTGCCTTGTCAGGTGGCGGAGGTGCGCTCGAAAGGTTTCTTGAAGTCTCAGCACGCCAATTGGAACAGCCCCTGCCTCAGCTGCAGTTTCAACATTTGAGGTACAACTCGGGAGCCCTAAACAGGCTCGCAGAGCCTGAGCCTGCATAACTTTCAATGTTCTTATGTTTGTACGGCACATCCCATCAAGTGCCGGTAGGCTGTATCGAAGAAAGCCGAGAAAAAGGGGCTTTATACAGTTGAAGAAGGGCAGCTACAGAGTTGCCCCACCTAGTACCACTAATGAATCGGATGAGCTGACAGTGCCGAGAAGCTTTTTTTATTTGCTTTATGTGCGGTATTCATGTCAAAGACTTGTCTAGAACTATTCCGAGAAATCTGTGCGTTTTCACACATGATATGGGATGACCCTCAACTGTCAGACAGTACCTATGAGTACTCTCTCTGGTAAATGCCATAGCGGCTGACTCTGATGGGGATAGAGATAGTCCACGCTGTTGTAAGTAGCCGGAGATGACCTCAAGTGATTTTTGTAAGCGGATCCGATTAAATTGCTGCAAAATTGATGACGTCCATATTCAGATGTCGTCCGTGTAAAGTGTAGTGCTGACGTCTCGGGGAAGTTTGTTTACGAGTGCCAGGAGGGTAATATTGAAAAGCGTAGGACTAAGAACTCCGCCTCGAGATACTGAATGCTCAGTAGTTTTCCCTTCTGCTGTCAGCATGTGAACTGTTCGCCTATCTAAGTAGCTTAATATCCACGCGTAGAGACGTCCTTCTATTCCGACATAGCTTAGGGCGTCACGGATAGCCCTGTGACTTACAGAGTCGAACGCGCCTTTTATATCTAGAAATACAGCGGTAGTGATCCGTCGACATTTCCTTCGTTCTTAAATGCTAGTTGTGAGATCAATGACGTTGTCAAGGAAATTCATCCCTCGTCTGAAGCCTGCCATACATTCAGGATATATCTCAGATTGTTCAAGGTACCACTCTAGTCCTGTGTGAATCATCTTTTCCATCATTCTGCCAACACAAGAAAGCAACGCGATTGGACGGAAATATAAGAAGTACAGAGGCGACTTACCTTGCTTAAAGAGCAACTCCGCTCAAAAAAACGACCCTATCGAAATGACTCATATCGTTTTAGAAGGTCAAAATACGGTCATACCCAAAATATCACGTCAAACCTACGCCGGATTACCGATTAAAACCAATATTAAAAATGTTCTCCCGGCTCGGTTAGTTGCCCGAAAGCGGGTGAGCAACCCTGGCACCGGGTGAGCTAGTGAAGCAACACTGGGCAATGACGTAGGTTTGGTCCTACGCTTTCGTACGGACGCCGCGGACGCTTCGTTTCCCGTGGCATTCTGCTATTCTGCTGATGGCAAGAGGTGCTTACCACGTTATTCTGTGTTCTCCTATTTTTATTAGCGTCCAGGCAGTTCATCTAACTCCAGCATTGCTTCCGTGACAGCGCGGAAGAGAGCGCAGCGGTACTGCTCGCTCACGCGCGTGTCGTGGAGCCGGAGAGACTAGCCAGACTCGTATTGGGCAATGCCGAGCACAACTTGTAGCGCTTTGGGTGGCGCCAACAGTCCGGTGCGCAACCGGAGCTGCGGTTCCAGAAGTTACCAAGGGTTCGGAAGGGGCACAAGATGTGGGTCAGTGCCGCTCGCCGGACAGACTTCGGAAGACCGTCGACTCCGAGCTCTGCTCCCAGCACT